TAAATGGTATGCTCTGTCACCCCTCAAAAATGAACGGCTTATTCCAAGCCTGTGTTTTTCCCCTGAAGTCTCATATCTGTAATCCCATTGGCCCAAGTCTTATTCTGCACCCACTTTCAATCTCCCTGTTAAGCTGTGTGAGGGAGACCGGACGTGCCCTTGGCCCTTTTCTCCCTAAGCTCTCCCTCTCTCCCCCTTTCCTACTTCCCCCCTTCTCCCTCACAAACCGTGCTGCTCCCAGGGGTGGGACCCCCCATAAACCCTCATCTAATCAGCACCCTCAGAAGCCGTGTGGAGTTTCCTTGCCTGTCTGCTGCTACCAGCAAACTCACAGCTTAGGGGGCCCCCTGGGGACTCCCCAGGGAGCCCCCTCAAACTGCAACAGGGACCTACCGTTCCTCTTGAGGAAGGTGCGCACGAAGGGGTCGATGCGCACGAACTCCAGCTGGATGTCGTCCCCGTCGAAGGGCACCCACTTGCCATCAGCGAGCTTCTCGATCACGATGCTGTACTCCTGGGACAAATTAAGCAGCGATGCCTGAAAACCAGCGCCGCCCACTCCGGGCCCCAGCACTGCCCAACTCCAGCCCGGGGCCTCACCACGAGGTCGGTGACGGTGTAGGCGTTGGGCGGTGCCAGCTCCCCGACGCGGTGGTGGGACACGGCGCCCACGCGCAGAACGCCCTCCTCCTTGAACACCCAGCGCGACAGGGCCACGGCCAGCTCGTAGTTACCTGTCTGGGAGTACCTGTGCAACAAGGGAGGCTTAGCTGAGAAAATACCCCATGGCCCAAACCCAAACCAAACGGAGGAGAAAGCAACACAAACTGAGCTGAGGTTAAAGGAAGGAGCTGCTTTCAAAGCGCTTTGTTCTGCAACAGTAAAGGATGTGTCACCACAATTCAATTCAAGATTTCTGCTCCTTCCCAACACATAAACATTTGTTGCCTGTTTCCCAGGAGTTCTGTGCTCAAAGGGCTCCCCAAAGACTCCTCAGCCAGGGAAGCCAACGCACCTCTTGGAGCCGGGAGTCGCTTTCTGCACGGCAGAATTGAAGAAGGCGTCGCTGAAGAAGTCGAGCGAGCCGCTGAAGACGACGCGGGCGTTGTTGCGCGCCTGCAGCCCCGCGATCAGCAGCGTGTTCTTCCCCACGGCGTGCGGGTACTGCGGAGCAAACGGGGACAGGGCTGAGCCCGCTGGGGATGCACCAGCAGCACTTTGCTGAGGGTGGGGCAGTCTGGCTGGAGTAGCACTGGCGGCAGTCAAGGAGTAACCATGAAGCTCAGAAAAAGCAGGAATAGGATTCTGGTACCACTCCAGCTGGGATGGAATGGGAGAGATGCTTTGATCTAGGCTAGCCTCTCCTCCAGAGCATGGAGGACACATGTCCCTCACTCTGAACACCTCACCAGCAGAAAGCAGAGATGAAGGGAACATTGGGAAGCAGCCAACAGCCCAACCCTTTCCAAATTAATCAGGAGATCAAACACTCCAGGATTTTCCCAACCAGCTGAAGTTAGAGGGACTAATTTGCAGAAGCACAGCTTAAAACAGGAGAGAAAGGAAGGGAGCGTACCTGAGTGATGGGCTTATCTGGGAAGAAGGAGTAGGAAGTGGAAGAGCCAGTCAGGATATCCAGCACCAGCGGGTTGTCAGGGTCAGCCACCATCCTTGCAGGAAAAGCCACAGTGAGCAGCATGAACCCCAGGGTCCCTGCACCCAGAGGAATGTGGAGCCACCTCCTCAACCCCATGGACCCTCTCACCCTTCTACCTGCTGAGAAACTAAATACTTCTTCCACTATTTTGTTAGGAACCATTCCTAAGTCAACAACTAAACTACTTAGGAGGACTTCCTTCTACTTTTGTTTGAAATCAAGAGAGATTTGTTAAGCTCACATTAAGAGCCCCAGGGGCTGACCCCACGCTCACCTCACAGCACCACCAGAGGTTCAACTGCCCTTCTCCCAGCTCACCCCTGCTGCTCACCCAACTCCTCGGAACAGGATGGGGTTCAGTGCTGCCCTCCCCACAATGGTGGGCGCCTTCAGGAGGTTCTCAGTGTCAGCCACAATCAGCGTGTGCTGGGGAAACAAGAGAGATCCGTGCGAGGTGAGTCTGGGTCTAATGACAAACAACAGCTTCTCAGTCAAAAGTTTATTTTACAGACAATTACAACTCTTGGGTGAACGTTGTACTTCAACTAAAAAGCAAAACAACAGCATTTTTGTTTATGATCAAATTAGGTTAATACTGATCTTCAAGGAAATACAAACTGCCACTTGATAAAGACAGCAACACAAACAGTGTTTTATTTCCCTGCATTTAGCAACCTTCATCCTCAAACCAGGACAACATGCACATACATACTGCTTCAACAGTTTACCTTAAACAAAAATTACCAGAGTATATTTAGCTCAGAATTTATGTTTTAATTTTAAAATGCTGGATTACACCAGGCAGGCCCAATTGTAGAAACGTTTGTGTGTTTCTATACTGATCTGAAAATCTGGGACAGAAATTCTCCCTTCCCACACCTGAAGCGTTGCACCTGGTGCCTGGCACGCTTCACCCTCAGGTGAAATTCCCCCCCAAGCTTTAGAGGGATCCAGAATCAGCATTAACCACAGCCCCACTGCCTGCACACGGTGACCACCTGAAACCAGAGCCTGAAGCACCCTCCCAGCAGCAGAACTGAATGCAGCAGCAGGGATTATTTCCCACTTTCCTGGGAGGAGTGGGGGAGAGAAGGGATAGAGGAAAAATGGGAGCACAGGGACAGAGGATTCAGCCCTCAAGCTCTGCACCCACCCAAGCAGCCAGGAGCAGGCAAGGCCCTTACCTGGCCGGGGTCAGAGATGTCGTAGTTGTGGTGGTCGATGACTGCTGTCCTCTCCTCATCAAACTCAATCCCACACTCGCTGCCCAGCTCTCGCAGGGGGTCACCTGCAGGGACAATGGATCCTCTGTCACACGACAAAGGAACTCAACAGGAAATTCAGCTGAGAGTCGCGTGTTCACCGCTCTGTGAGCCAAACCCCAGGGAGCAACATGACCTCTCCACTGAAATCCCACTGAATGTGTTACCAAAGGCATGAATGACCCATTTCCTCCCCGAGCAAGCCCTGAGGTGACAAGGAGCAGCTGGTTTTGCTGCAGTGACTGAACTCTCTGGAGGAACACCTGCACTCACCGATGTCTGAGCTGGCGGCCACGAGGACGCTGCCGCCGCCGTCGATGAATGCAGTGATGGTCTCCACATTGATGTTCCCACCAAAGTCTGAAAGCAAACAGCAGGAATTCATGGCTGGAGCTCAGAAATAACCCCCTGGCAGAACTAAACCACAGCAAATCACCAAATCAATGGAAGAACCACCAATAAAGGCTTGGACAGAGCTGCAGTTTGCTACTGAGTACATCCAAAGCATAGGACTTAAATAAAAATCACAGAACAGCTGGAAACCCCCTTCCAAAGATGCCACGAAGCTCCAGAGGCTTCCCCACAGCATTTACCTTCTATGGATGGGGAGAAGATGATGAGGTTGTCATAGAGGAACTCCCCATACTTTATCAGGGACAGGCCGGCGTCATCCGCTGTCCGGAAGGTGAGGTCGAAGCCCCTGTCTGCAGCAGGACACAGAAGGGACAACGTCTGCATGCCATGAAACCACACACAGAGCAGCAAAACTGCAGCAGGAGCCAGAGGTTTGTCTCCCCAGTGAAAGAGCAGATTGGAAACACTGATTTTTAAGAGTAGCACCTGAGAATTCCCAAATAAACCCAAGGGGTGGATCCCCTGAAGAGACCTGGTATCAAAGGATGCCTCACTGTCACCCATCACACAGGGACTGATTCTGCAGGGGACCTAAACACAGGCACAGCTGGGAAAACAACCCCCATCTCCTGCCTCATTCTGACCAGAAGACCCCAAGCAGTCACACCCCCCCTCCTCCAGGGAACCCCAATCTCCTTCCTCTGCCTGGCACAGGGTTCCCAGTCCTCTCCCTCTGCCTGGCCAGGGTACCCCAGCACCTCCCCCTACACCAGGGAACCCCAATCTCCTCCCTTGGCTTGGGGTCTCTTTCTCCTCACTCAGCCTGACCAGGGAACTTTAACAGCAACCCCATCACAATCTCCTCCTTCAGCCTGACATGGGGACACAAATCTTCTTCATTGTGACCAGGGGAACCCAAACAAGCCCCTCTTCCTTGGAACACCAATCTCCCTTTCTGCCTGACCAGGGGACCCCGACCTCCTGCCCCATTCTGACATGGGGAACCCAATCTCCTCTCTCATCCAGGCACAGCTTCCCCATCACCTCTCACAGACTGACCAGGAGACCTCAGACCCCCCGTTCTCCCTCAGGGGACCCCGATCTGCAACCTCAGCCTGACAGGGGACCCCAATCTCCTCCTCCACTCTGACATGGGAACCCCAAACAGCCCCCCTTTTCCGCCTGGCAGCTCCAATTTCCTCCCTTTGCCCGGTGCAGCATCCCAAATCTCTCCCTCATCCTGAACATCCCAACACCCCCTCTCCCCTAGGGGACCCTCAGGTCTCCCCCATCCTGACGAGAGGACACAGCCCCTTCCAGCCAGGGGACTCCAATCTCCTTCCTCGGCCTGACCCGAGGACCCCAAACATCCCCTTTTCCCTCAGGTAACCCCAACCTCCTCCCCCATCCTGACCCTGGGTCCACAACCCCGCCCCATCCAACCCCTCCCGGGATCCCGCCGTGGCCCGCTCGGTACCCGCGAGGCTCCGGAAGAACATCGAGTGCGTGTCGCGCAGGTTCCCGTTCTCCAGCAGCACCAGCGTGCGGGGCCCGCCCTCAGCGGCCGCCGCCAGCACGGCCAGGAGCCCACACACAGCCACAGCGGCCGCCGCCATCTTGCTCCGGGTCGCTGAACTACCCCAGAGGCGGGCAGCCTCCAGCCAATCAGCGCCAGCGCCGAGCGGCCTCTAGCCAATCAGCACCAGCGCCGAGGGAACTCCAGCCAATCATCGACAGACAGCTCCGCGACGTCGGGACGCAGCGCAAGCGGGCGCTGTCGCGACAGCGCTGTGGCGGGCAGGGCAGGCCCCGCCGCCGTCCGGCCCCGCCGCGCCGCGGGTCAGAGGCGGCGGGCGCTGGAGCTGGCGTGCCCTTCCTGCGCTTGGTGCCGGCGCTGGGACTGCAGGCGGGAGGGCCGCGCCGGGGGCACGGTGCCGGTGCTGCCCGCAGCCCGCTCGGAGCCCGCGGGAGGAGAGGAAGGGGTGTGGAGGGGCAGCGCAGCACGCCAAAATAGGGCTGTGTCCTGCGAGAAACCCTGAGAGGTGAAGGGCTTGAGGCAGAATTGGTCCTGGGTGGGTCGCCGTTTGATTTCCCAAGGAAAAGGAGGACAGTTCAGAGTGCATCTGGGGAACCTTGGTGCAGCCGGAGGGTCTGGCCGGCTCGCCGGCATCGGGAGTAGTTGCTGGGATGGTCTCGCTGTCGCTCCTGCCCAGCCCGTAGTGGTGTTCCTCGGGCTGCAGGCGGCAAACGCTGTCAGCAGCGCCAGCAATAAGGCAAAATTGGTACAATGGGATAGAAGAGGAGGGATGGGCCGTACCGCTGGCTCCCCGCTCTCGTTCAGGGGTGTGTCCGCCAGGCTGGGGCTGTGGCAGGGCTGGAAGCGCTGTGGGAAGGGATGGTCGATGTGTGTGGAGCAATCGCCACCCTGCTGGCTGCACTCCCCGACCCCGGCACTGCTCAGCTCCCGAGCGATCCCACCACGGGCCCCCTTTGCTACTCACACTTTCCAGACAGACTTCGGAAGATGTCAGGAGTGCACGCAGCCCTGGCGTGGCAGAGCCAGGGCCACCTCCCTGTCCCCCACAGCGCCCTGCTGTGCCCTCACCTGCGGGCAGGTGGGTTCTTGGAACGACAGGCTCTGGAATGAATTCTCCAGCAGCCGCTCTCCTCGTCCCGCACGCACTCACGGATCCTCTCCAGGCTGCTGCAGTTGCAGTCCCGCCGCACCAGGGACTGCACCCGATCCAGCAGCTGCTGCCAGAGCTGCGGGTCTCGCTCCTGGCGCTGGATAATCCATCTTCTGCAGCCCAAACTCCAACTGCAGGTCTTGGATCTCGGTCTGGGCAGCCCGGAGCTGGACACAAAACACCAGGGTTATAAGGCAGAGACTGATGGATACTACAAGTACAGGAATTTGTCAGGCAGAGAAAGACACTCAGGAAAGCTTCAATATTTGGAAAGTTTTCTAATTTAGGTACAAATTAGGATGAAAATTGTGTGAAGAGATTATTCCATGTCTGTTTTAAAGAAAGTTGTCTCATGTTTCTCCACAGGGATGATTTTTGAATGAACCTGAAGCTAATCTTACTGATATGGTCTTAGAACTCCTGGAATTTCTTAACTTTGGTTAAAGAGGTACAATATTTCTTTGATAATCTAAATACCCAGATAAAGTAAGTCCTTCATGTGCAGGTCTAGGACTGTCCACACAAATGTCAAATTTTTTTTGCAGACCCTCTGATTATACCACAAAATATCAGAGCAAGCTGATTTTCAAATGTTCTGAAAATGAAGATTTTAAATGTAAAATTTAAGATCATTACTTTCATATTTTGTTTCTTGCCCCAGAACGCAAGCTCAGAACTGGCAGCAGCTGCAGCAGACCTGTAGGTCGGCAGAGGGAGTCGCATCCCCTCCCATCCCAAGACGTGCTCCTCCCGCCGAGTGTCACACGCTGAGCCTTTAGAACTGGGGGGTTTAGCCTTCAAAAGCTCAATCCCCCACCTGAAGGATTTTATAAAAGCTCTCAGACACACTGTGCTGTATGAAATACTGACACAGCCAGAGTCATTCTCTAAACGCACAGCCCCAAACCCTGTAACATAAAAAAGGAGGATGTGCAGGAGGAAGGAGCTGCACCCTCACCTTCTCCTGCACCTTCTCCAGCGCTTGCTCTTGGCTGGAACCTCCTCCTGGATGGAGTGGTGTTCGTTGAGGAGAGGCTGCTCGCTGCTGTCCTTGCTGGATGCCTGCAGGGCAGCCAGCAGCTGCAGCCCCCGCTCGTCCCTGTGCTTCGTCCTCCGTTTGTGCTTTTCCTTCAGGTCCTGGTGCTGAGCCTGCTCCCCACCTGCTGCTGCAGCACCTGCAGCCTGCAGAAGGGAACGCCGAGCTCAGAACCAGCTCCACGAGAGTGGAGGAGGCACGTCCTTCCACGGGTGACATTTGGGAAGAGAGAAAATTGGGAATTATGATAACATTTTCTGCCCTGAGTAATCATAGCAGATTCTACTTATTATTAACACTTTCTGTCATAAAAAGAACTCCAGAATCTCAGAGTGGTTTGGGCCGGGAAGGACCTTAAAGGCCAGCTCACTGCACCCCCTGCCATGGGCAGGGCCACCTCCCACTCTCCCAGGTTGCTCCAATCCTGTCCAAAGTGGCCTTGGACACTTCCAGGGATCATGGGGCAGCCACAGCTCCTCTGGGCAAAATACTCCACAAAGGCAAAGCATGTGTTACTCCAAGCACCTCAGTCAACAAGGATATCCAGAAATACATATCTAAGCTCACAAAATTGTCTTTAAACCCCTTGTTTTGTGTATTTTATATTTAAATTCTTATTTAAATAAACATTGAATTTTCTTTTTCAAATATGCACAAAAGGTGCCAAATTTACACAGAGAATTATTTTAACTGGTGGATATGGGAGTGTTAGATCTGAAAGCCTCAGTGTGGCTTCCATTTTGGGGCAGTATCAGCCATGATTTGTGTCACCTCAGCGTTGTTAATGCAGCACTGGCACAGGCCTGGGTGTGAAATCATGCTCTGGCATGGAAATAAAGCCAAAGGCTCCAGAGCCATTCCTTTGTCTAGCTCAGGTTGGCCAGCACTGTCTCAAATTGGCTGATAACCCCTTTACTGATAACAGCCTCCTAATTATCTCCAAACCCTGTGAAAAGGCTCGTTCTCCCCCAGAACTGACCTGCTATTCTGCTGCACTGCTCCTGCCAGGCAACCTTCCATTTCCTTTGCTTAACACACACTGAATCCAAGGATTCCATCCTTGCTCTGCTGAGCTGCCCTGATGTGTAAAGCTTGAGCAGGGGCTTTGAAATCCCCTCACCTGTGGCACCAAACCCTCCTGCCCAATCTGTACAGAACCTGGATTTAACAATGTGATTAGAAGGGCACTTTCCCTTGTTTGCCACAAAAGGAATAGGATTCATTCTTGCAATGAACTAACATTTGATATAAAATCCAAATGAAGGGTTTCTTTGGAGATCTCTCCCTTAAGAGACAGAATTGCCCACAAATTACAGACACTGCTGTTCTGCATTTCATAGCAGCTCCTTTTTGAGACAGGAGAGACCCAACAGAGCGAGCGCACACCACAGGAAAGCTGAAAGACTGGGTAAAACTCACAGAAGGACTGGTTAAAACCCACAGAACTGTTCAGAATCAGACTCTGTCACAGCTTTTCTAATTGTCTATAGTTCCACACAATGGAGTAAGTGAAAAATCAGCAGAATTTACTTCAGTCCTGTATTTCTGGAGCAGCCCAAGCCCCCATGCTGCTTCAGTTTGTGGTGGTGTACTCTGCCTGAGGGAATTCTCTCAGGACAGCTCTCACACAGACAAAACCTTGAGCCAGGCTGATTTTGATTTGGGCTGAGCATGAGCCCAAGCCTGCATCCCTCATATCCCAGCCCTGTCCTCCAGGCCCTGACAGTGCCCCTGAAATAGGATTGTTGGGAAATTTTGCTGTTAGTTGTGGATGATGTGCTGCAAACACTGTGAGATGCATGAGCTGGAGGCAGAAGTGGCCTCAGTGATGGGAAGAGTCCATCCATGAGCTACAGGACAGCTGCTGCCTTACCTGTAAGACATGAGAGGTGTCCAAGTGCCCTTCAAGGCCCTCTTTCAAGAGGAAAAGGAGGCATCTCCATAACCTGTGTGGGCACTTAAGGCTCCTCTGCCTGCAGCTGCAGGCAGGATTTGTTACCAGGAACACACAATTTTTGGCATCCACATTTGCAGACTTGAACATCTCCATTTTTCTCTCATAATTCTGGTACGTGGCCTCACTGAGCACTGCAGGGAACAGCTCATCTGGAGACAAGGCTCCAGGCAGACCTTAGAGCCTCTCCTGGTGCCTAAAGGGGCTCCAAGAAAGCTGGAGAGGGACTTTAGACAAGAGGCTGGAGTGCCAGGACACAGAGAATGGCTTCCCACTGGAATGGAATCCTTCCCTGGGAGGGTGGGCAGCCCTGGCACAGGTGCCCAGAGCAGCTGTGGCTGCCCCTGGATCCCTGGAAGTGTCCAAGGCCAGGCTGGATGGGTCTGGAGCAGCCTGGGACAGTGGAAGGAGTCCCTGCCCAAGGCAAGGGGTGGAATGGGATGAGCTTTAAGGTTCCTCCCACCCAAACCAGTCGATCATTTTAACTCACATGTGCCTGGGTTGGGGCTGCAGTGCCAGCTGGAGCTCAGCAGCTGTGCTGGCATGGCAGAAGGTACCTGCTGCTGCCTGAGGGTGCTGCCCAGGGCACAGCTGGCACGAGCAGGGATTCACTGACCTGGCAAGCACCAGCTGCTGGTCTGCAGGTGGGGAAATCCCCGGGGCAGTGACAGCTCCTAATGCTCCAGCACTGCCCCTGCTCACCCCACTGGTGTCTGTGACAGTCCCAGCTGGCTCCTGGGGACAAGAGGAAAACAAAGGCTGTAGCTCTGGAGAGATGCAGTGAGAGTCCTGGGGGAGATGAGGCACAACGTTACCCACTCAGGGTTGTTCATCCTGAGGGGAGAAGGAGCCTCGAGGGTACCTGGGCTGATGTTGGCTCTTCACGTGCTGCAGCAACAGCAGCTTCATATGAAAGTGTGTGGTCAGAAATTGTTCTAGTCCGTGTGTCAGCTGAACAGAGGAAATGCCCACAATGTTGGAAATGAGCTGTGCAAAACTAGATACAAATCTGTGAAACCATCTCCCAAAGCCTTCCCCCAAAGCTAGGAATGACATGTCTGAAAGGAAAAGGTTTGTCATTCAGCTACTTCTGATGGTCAGTAAAAACCATGAAAAACTGAGAGGGTGTATTGGGAAAGGAATGCAGATTGTGCAGGGCTGGGAGAGCCTGGCTCCAAAAATAATCCATTTCAGAGGCTGGGGATGCATATTTGTAATCAAAGGGAGAAGAAATAAAGAACCTCTCTTCACCTCAAAAAGTGATAGCACAAAAAATGAAGAATACAGGTTCAAGAATTACTAGTGGGTGATAAGTGCTGCATGAGCACATTGCAAACCATGCTCTGAGGCACTGCAGGTATCTGTGAAAAGCAGCAATGGAGAGGCAGAGGAGGCAATTTTTAGGATGTGAGAGGAATATCTGCCTTGCAGTGAGTGATGGTGTGGATAATCCACCGGGAGAGCAAGTGCTGCAGCACATTTGCATAAGCAGGAAGAGACTGCGGCAGCCACCTCGGCCTGGGGAGTGACAGTCCAGGGGGAAGGGGACAGAGCAGTGACCTCTGCTCCAGAGACACTGCCCTCAGCAGGGGGAACTCTGCTACGTGGGCAAAAAGCAGGCGTTTTACTCAAAAATGAGGCTTTTCATTGCCTCAAGGCTTCCAGGGTTGAATCAGGGTCAGGATGGTCCCGACAGGGAAAGAAGCCAGGGAAATAGGGAAGAGGACAAAGCTGGGACAGAGTCTTAAATCCAGGAGAGATTTAAGACTCTGCTCCTGCTGTGGATGAGCGTGGGTTGAGAGCAGGGACTGCTGCTGCAGTGGCAGCACTTGCTGCCTGTTAAAGGCTGCAGTGGCTGCCACAGATGTGAGTGCAAAAACAGCCCCTGCTCCTGAGGGAGCCTGGGCTGGGCTGCACATCCTCCACCTTCCTTCTCCACACCTGCTTCCTTCCTGAGGAGATCTGGAGAACAGACACCTTGAGATCAAAGGCATCCCTCAGGCTGCTGATGTCCTTCTCCAGGCAGGCACAGGACGCCTGCTCTGCTTGGTGGCTGGCCTGGAGCTGGGCCAGCCTCTCCTGGAACTCCTGCAAGGCACAGCAACAGTCCTGTGACTGTCCCCAAGGCCACATCCAGGTCCATTCCAGGTCACACCTTATGCCCATCCCAATACAACTCCACCACCAGCATTCACTGACTTTTCCTGTGACTGAAGTTGACACAGGAATGATTGTTTTTGATGAAAGTGAATGTTCAGCCCTAGAAACGGCTGCCTTGGCTGGTTGTGGTGCCCTGGAATGAACTTTCTAAACATCAAGGAGAGAGTTTTGTTTCCCTCTGGCTCCTCCTGGCTCTGTATTCCTCTTTTTCCTCATCTCTGTACTCTTCCTAATACCTTTGACAACTGCTTTCCTCAACTCTATTCCTCTATTTTCTGACAATTTCACATGTAGTTCCTCCAAAAATTCTTCCTGGGAATCCATTCCAATCCATCCCCAGAGAGGTAGGAACAAGAGGTGGGTTATCATAAGGCACATGGCCTCCACAACACATGGTCTGTTCATAGGAGAAGTCCAAGGATTACAAAATAAGAGAAAAATAGAAAAAGAGAAGTGTTCTGGAAAGGCTGAACCGTATTTGTAATGATCACTATGAAAAAAGTTTTTCAACTTTCTTCCCAACTTACTTCTCTGATCAGCTGCTTCTCTGCTTCCAGATCCACCTGGGGTTTGAGGCAGGGAGCTGGATTTGCTCCCAGGTGAGCAGCCTCAGCAGGTAGAAGCCCTACAAAGCAAAGTAGAAATACAAATCACTCACAGTCACTGGGTGGGATTGTCTGCAGAATTCCTGGAGAGAGAACAAAGAAGCTGGGTGCCAGGAAAGAGCATGGCAACCCCTGTGCTCCCTCAAACCACGCTCGCTGCCAAAACGCCGCCAGCCTGGGGCTTCAGAGGTGTGGGGAGAGAGGGAGAGGTTCCAGCTTCAGGGAAATATGGAAGTGAATGTAATTGTATGGTATTTATACATACAAGTATCTCTTTTAAAGAAAAACAGGACTTGTTTCCAAGGCTATGCTACAGATTTGGGAGATAAAAGACACCGGGAAGATGAAAAGTGCAAGGAAATTACCTTCTTTGTTCACAGCTATTTCTGAAAGGGGGCAGAAAGGGGAAAGAAGTAATCCTACAGCCTTATTCCCCTGCTGAAAGTTGCCCTTTTATCAATGCAGGTGGCCCCCAGCTAGGGAATAATGTGCTCTGACTCCATGATTTCAGAAGGCTGAACTAATGCTTTATTAAGCTGTGTTACATTACACTAATACTATATTACAATTATACTAAAGAGATACTAAAGAAAACCCCGTGACTGTCTCCAACAGTCACGAAACAGCTTTTTTCCAACTGGTCAATCAGTCCAAACAACCATCATCAGAGTCCAATTAAGAAATCACTTTCAGTAAACAATTTCCATAACATATTCCACATGTGCCAAACGACAGGAGCAGCAAGTAGAGACAAAACAAAAGAATTGTTTTCTCTACTTCTCTGAGCTTCTCACTGCCTTCCCCAGGAAAAATCCTGGGAGAGAGAATTGTGTCTCTTTCTGTTCAGCAAATGTGAATACCACACCCTTTTTTAGGGGCTAATTCTCCAAAGGTGATCAGCCTCCTATGGACTGTCAACAGTCAAGAACCAGGACTGTCTTTGCACCATGTCCTGTTCCAGCCCTGCTCTTTGTCTGCCTTGGGCCCTGACTCCCTGAAGTAAGTAAATATCTACTTAACCTAAACACTGCACAGTCTAGTGCTTTTCTCAACAGGATCCACAGTAAAAATTTGTGCCTGTTCTTGCTCTCTCAGTGAGCTCTGAACACACACACACACACACACAGACCCCTCCACATATTTCAACAGTGTTTAGTTTCAGCCAAAGTGCTCTCCAAGTAACGTGATCAGACCATGAGTTTATACAACTTTTTTCCTCCTCAGTTTGTTTCATGAGGGGAAATTTAGATATATGGAAATCCTTCCCTGTGAGGCTGGGGAGGCCCTGGCCCAGACAAGTTGTGGCTGCTCCTGGATCCTGGGAAGTGTCCAAGGCCAGGCTGGACAGGGCTTGGAGCAGCCTGGGACAGTGGAAGGAGTCCCTGCCCATGGCCCAAACCCCAGATGAGGAGATGGATCCTGGTGAGGAGTGAAATGCAGTGAGCTGGTGAGGAGTGAAATGCAGTGAGCTGGTGCCATTCCCATCACTTTAAGGCAGGAGCAGATTGAGCTGAGTCTGCCCAGCTGCCTGGACACACACCTTACACATGGAATGCCTGCCTCCTGGTCTGCATTTGAGGCTGGAACAGTGTGATGGCACAGGGTCCCTGTGAGGCAGACAGAGTGCATCTGGCTCCTTTAGGAGCCCTCACTTTCACTGGCTCCTTACCTTTCCCAGCCTCACAAAGAGCAAAGACTTGGGCACACGTTCCTGGAACTGCTGTCCTAAGTGCTGGACCACACTCTTGGATATCCACATCTGAAATGCTCCCAAAGATTGCAACCCCAATTCAAGGGAAGAGCTCCTTTAGCATTCCAAGCATAGAAAGCACTGAGACTTTAACAGAATCCACCCTTTTCAAGGCAGCCTTCCACAAATCCTGGCCTCAAAAGGAGTGAGTTCTGTTTTACAGCTCTGGACAATACCTCAACATGAGCAATGAACAATCTGATGCATGAGGGAAAGTGGAAAGTTCACAGGTAAACACCGAAATCTCTAAAATCTGTTGTGCCAGGATATTTCTGTTACAACAACAGATTGGTAACTGTGGAGTTTAATGTTTGCCTCTGAGCAAACTTGTTTCACTCTCAGCTCATTCTCATGTGTCAAGACATGGGAGAACAGGGTAAAAAAACACGGGGCTGAAACAGAGCACCCTCTACTTATCCTTTCTGAGTGCTGGGGTGAGTGGGCAGCCACAAAAAGTAGGTTTCCTAAACCTTTCACTTCTTCCCTTGGTTCATAAATGCTGGCAGGCAATCAAAAACCTGTTTTGGTTCCTGCCAGTCCTTTTACCCACCGAGGCTGTTTGTTCCAGCTCAGAGCTCATGGTTTACTTCCCATAGTGTGAGAAGGTCCCCAGGCTCTTACTAAAATGTGTGCAGCAGCCTAAAGAGCTTCCCTGTCTGATTCCCTGTCAGCCCATTGGCCTGGGCTGATGGCAGAAGCGCACAACATAAAGGAATGAAACATCTGCTAATCTAAAAAAAAAATTGTGAAAATAAATAAGCATAAAAAATAAAATATAATTTTTTAAAGTGTAAAAATGTAAGTAAAAATACTGATGGGAACTTGCATGTTTCAAACATCTGCAGCCAAGAGCCCAGTATTTTTCATAATTCCTGAGCATGTTACTTTAAAAAAAATAATTTTAGTGTCTTTAAAATCTCAACTCCCCATAAACTATTATTTACTACAGGCTCACCTGGAAAAGAAGTCTGAACTCTTTATAAAGCCTGAAGATGACAACAGAAATACCAACTTCCTCAACTCTGTCAGCCAATGCTCACCCCAGCAGAACCATCCAGTTTATGGGGATTGGCCAGTGCCCTCAACTTTCTCCTCAAATATTCCATCTGTTTTTAACTGCCAAAGCTGCAGGTTCCCCACCCGCCATCCCATTCCATGTCATGTCTTCAAAGCTTTAAATCAGAGAAATTCAGGCTAGCTTGAGCGCCCTGCACCAATCTTGAGCAGAGAAGAGGAGTGCAAACACTTCTTACCTGTTGGGGTAAAGTTGGGATTTTACAGACCCACACAATGCATCCAGTATCTGTGCTAATTGAGAAACTCCCCAAATCCCTCACTTACTGAGTGGCAAATGAGGTACTGTCACCAACATCTGGAACCACAATTTTGAAAGACACTGTGTAACTTTCCCTGTGACTGAAACAGCTGAAGAAAACGAAGCCAAGCTGTTCCCAGCTGGGGTCAAAGACAAGGCAGAGATTAATTTCTTTCTCCTCCCAGAAAAACCCTCTTCAGGTCCCTGCTCAGACTCAGAGAGGCAGCTCTTCCAACTAAAGAAATGCCAGTGAGATACTCATGAAAGGAAAATTAGTCACTAAAACTTTATTAAAGGATTCTTTAATTCCATCTTTAAAAAATGAGCCCTATGATTAAGCTCAATGAAGGAATTTTTAGGAGACATGACCTGAATGGTTTCATTTGGGAGGGACCCTAAGACTCATCTCATTCCACCCCCTGCCATGGGCAGGGACTCCTTCCACTGTCCCAGGCTGCTCCAAGCCCTGTCCAGCCTGGCCTGGGACTCTGCCAGGGATGCAGGGGCAGCCACAGCTGCTCTGGGCACCTGTGCCAGGGCCTGCCCACTCTCCCAGGGAAGAGGATTTTTCTGCTGCACCTAGCATCATTTGGGATCTAAGGGTAGCTGTGGGATGATGAGTGGCCACACAGACCCCGTGCCCTGCCAGGCCGAGCGCCAGGGCTCCAGGTGCACATTGAGAGCACAGATTTCCATGCAGACAGTGAAGATGGAGTGAGAGCAGGAGGAGCCCTTGTCCATGAGGGTGAAAGCCACTGCTCTGTTCCTGCAGCCCGTGTCCATGAGGGTGAAAGCCACTGCTCTGTTCCTGCAGCCCTTGTTCATGAGGGTGCAGGCCACTGCTCTGTTCCTGCAGCCCATGTCCATGAGGGTGCAGGCCACTGCTCTGTTCCTGCAGCCCGTGTCCATGAGGGTGCAGGCCACTGCTCTGCTCCTGCAGCCCGTGTCCATCAGCTCACACTGGGCCATGCTGTGCACAGTGTGCAGGGACAGCCCCTGCACGTGCACCCCCTGCTCCGGGTGCTCCTTCAGCTGTCAACAGGACAATGCAAGCCAGGTCACAACAAGGGACACTGAAACCAGGGAAAATTACACTGGGAATGGCCCAGAAGCTTGAGAGCTACATGAAATTAAACTGCAGTATGAGAAAAACACATCTGACTGCCACCAGAAAGCCTTATTTCTGAAGGAGGACTAAAACCACAGAAAAAGAGGGAACCACCTTCATGGCTCAGAGAATTCAAGTTTAAAAGTTGCTGACTGATTCAGACATCCCCCAGGCCATGAGGAACCCAGCTTCTATCCACCCTCCACCTTCTCTATTATTAAGCTGCATATTTTAAACAAGAATCAAAACACATCTCACCTATTATGGCAAAGGCTGTAAGATCTCCTCAGCCATAGGAAGCTTTTTTTAATACCAAAGCACAGAAACAATATTCCCAGATATTGTTCCCAGTGCTTTGCTGAACTCTTTGCTCTGAGTGGGTGGCTTGAGCTCACTGACAACATTCCCAAAGTACCACCCATCACACACAGGTGAACTGTCACCATTTCTCTCCACATTAATTAATTTTTAAATGAACAAAAATCCTATTTGGGACCCTAGGTTGAGACAGAGCATTAAATACCCAACAGCATCTTCTCAGTAATTATCATTTGCACAGATGAAAAGTTTCATATGAAATGCTAATAAGCAGTGGAAATATCCAAAATTTTGATTTACCCATCAAACCTACATAAAAATACAAAATAATCCAGAGATTCCTGCACTCCTACACCAGCCCCCTCCACACTGGGAATTTTAAATGAGCTAAATTAATTTTCCACAGCTCTGTTACACCCCACATCTGCTAAGTTCATCACCAAAACTATCTTTATCATGTCAGCTGGGATATCGAGATATGGTTGTCATGATGGAGGAACAGAAGCCACATTTGGCACTGTGAGTTCCAAAGAGGAGGCTCAGATACCTCAGTGATGTTCACAAGAAATGATGTAAAACAGCGTTAAAAAAATCACACAGAACAGAAGTGGCTGAACATTTGATTGGGTGGGATTTATCCTCGTTCCAAAGCCAAGAGGCCCGGGATGAATCCAGGTACAGCCACAGGCAGTGTTCATACCCTGTGACTGGTCTGTGCTGCTGAGAAGCCCAGGACTGGCCTGGCTCTGTCTGGGGGTGCTGCAGAGTCCCTGAGGAACACCTGACCGAGGACACGGCTGACATCACTGAGGTGAAAGGCAAAGGAATGAACAAAACTGGGATTCAGGGGGAATTGGGGGACTCAGAGGTGTGCGGTGGGGCAGCCTGGGATTTGTTTCGGCAGGACACACTCCCTCAAGTACTCGGTGCAGGCAGCAACAGGCAGCGTGACGGAGTTACCCTGGAAACTGCTCTGCCCAGCTCCTGCCCTGCCGGTGCCAACCGCGTCGCCATGGAAACCCGTGTCACCGCCGCTGGGGAACAAAGGAAGGGAAACTGCAGCGAGAAGTCCCCTTCTCCCACTCTCCCTCTGCAGGAGACAGGCAAAGCACGCTTGGAACACGGAGCAGAGAGGGGTTTGCCTGCCTTAAAGCCAGAAACCTCTTAGAAATACCTGCCCTGTGAGGCAGCTTGGGTCTGTTGACATCTCAGAGCGTTGCAAGGTGCTACTGCCTTGGTTTTATACACCAGGCAGTCCTGCAAGGAAGTAAATTGGGACAGATTTCTATATCCCTCCAGGAATACATGCAAAAGGATCTGCAAAGCCACCAGGAGGTAAATTTTATAAAGATCAGACCCATGATTATGATTTTGGGAGAGTTTATCCTCCTATGGTCCTGTAAATGTCACATATGTTTCCATGGGGAGTAATATCTGCTGTGTGCCCTCAAAAAGGATCAGCCTTTTTGGTTTAGGCAGATAAAGAGATCATCCATGGCTCCACTAGATCAGATTAAACATTTATAAGGCCAAGAATCCTCTTGCTTTAGAGACAAGCATGAGATGAAGAGGATGAGGAAGAAACTGCCCCATGAGCACTTTATTCCACCCTTGTTCAGTGAAGGATTTTCACAGAGCTGCTGCTGAGCTACCAGCCACTATCATGTGGGATACACTGGACATGTCTCCCACTGCATCCAGTTCCTAAACTTTCACTAAAGTCCTTCTTAGCATCCATATTCCTCATGTAACTTCATATTCTGGCACTCAAGCTTCTGAAAGAGACCTTTGCTGCACTTCTGTAAGTCATGGTAACACCCATCTGAGCTAATTAAAACATTTAATTAAGACACATTGAGCCTGCCTCACCTCCATCTTCTGCTTGGTGTCAGCTCCTAGGTCTCGTATGTGCTCATTGCAGATCTCCAGGTAGGAGGCTCTCAGCAGGACCTTGGTGTTTTCAGCACACTGCAGAGCACAGGGAGGGCTGGGGCTGAGGCTGCACAGCACAGGCACCCACAGCTGGGTGCCCACCACCCTTCAGCCCCTCATCCAACCTCCCCTGGCCATGCATTCCAGGTGGAACAACTCAACACATCCTGCACGGGACTTCTGGTCCTTGCACACCTCCAGCTCACAATGCCATCTGCCATGAAGGTGCAGTTCATCTGGCCATGCAGCTTCAGGACGAGGAGCGGTGCACCCCAAACCTGTCCCCACTCACACTTGATGCCATCAGCACTCACTTCTTGGCACAGGACACCAAAGTCTAGCAAAACCTTACCCACAGGACCTCTTTCACACCCACCTGTACACGCTCAAAGATGTGTTCAAATGCCCTGGGAATGATCCCTCTCTGTGAGGAAGGATCTGCACCTCCTGCATGGTGAAGGACTTCCCACTGCCAGTCTGGCCGTAGGCAAAGATGGTGCCATTGCAGCCTTCCATGACACCCTGGAAATGGGGGAAAACCAGAGAAAACAGAAATCTTCTTTGCCTAACTGGAAATACATTGTCCAGATTCATTCCCACCCCCCAAAAGGTGTTTTAAAGGAAGAGCTGGAAGTAAACATCAAAAGGCTGCTTAATCTCCACACGCCATCAGAGTATAGCAACTACAAAATTAGCATATAAATCAATGTTTTTCTCTCAAAACAAGGAATCTTGAAGCAGTGCAGGTGTTGAAAAACAGTTGACAACACCAACATTTAGCAAACTATAATATTTTTGCCATAAGCACAAAAATCTTATGAGATTCAGAGACAACTAGAACAATAGTTGGCTGTGGGGTGGCCAATGGGATGGTCTCTAGCTTTGAATAATTTTTGCTTGGCAAGCTGCTCACTGTCGCTTGTCCCTATTTCAGAGAAGTGTGGTAGGAAGAAAAAATAATTGGATTTCTTAAGGTTTAAATAAGAAAAAAACAACCTAGTATTTTAATATCTACTGTTTCTAGCCCTGCTTGTTCTCATGATTAGGAACTTCCATCTTAAAACCATCACGAGCCATTTAATCCACGTTACTTCTTCTAACAAAACTTTTTTTGGAGAGTGAAGTTGGTCTTTTTTTTCTCAACAGGTTCATTTATCACCTCAGCTGTTTCCTGTGCTGATCTGCTAACAAGGAAACAAAGGGATCCCCTAGCCTTTTGCCAGTCTAATCCAGGCTGAGGTTCCCCATCTTCTCTAAGGTTTTTCACTTGACAGTAAAAATGTCCCTGAAATCATCAGTTTGATACCAGAGCAGCTGTGGCTGCCCCTGGATCCCTGGCAGTGTCCAAGGCCAGGCTGGATGGGGCTTGGAGCAGCCTGGGACAGTGGAAGGTGTCCCTGCCATGGCAGGGGGTGGGATGGGATGAGCCTTAGGGTCCCTTTCCACCCGGAGCTGTCTGGGATTCTATGATATAAACACCCACCTAAAACAATTCAATGTAACTCTCTCCTTGGTGCCCTGCTGGCTGCTAACAAAGTTTTGTTTCTTCCCAATTTTCCAGACTGTTGCTGGGACACTGTCTGCTCTCCTCTGCCTCCCGGGCTTGAAGCTAAACCTCTTGAAGCAGTGGACAGGGCTTTCTGCCCATAAATCAGAGAATCCCAAATGGTTTAGATTGGGAGGGACCTTAAAGTTCATCTTGTTCCACCACTCTGCCATGGGCAGGGATGGTCAGGAAGGTCAGGAAGTGTCAGGAAGGTCAAGTGCATCCTGCTTCACTTAGGGATCACCTGTAAAACCCTTCAGCCCCTGTCCCAAGCTATATATTCACAGAATATTCTCAGCTGTAAGGGACCGACAAGGATCAGAGTCCAACTCCTGGCCCTGCACGGACCCCGCCCTGTGCCTGAGAGCATTGTCCAAGCACTCCTGGAGCTCCTTTCATTGTGGTGCCCAAAACTGCCACCACCCCTGGCTGTGTGGGCTGCCCTGGGTGCCCACTGACCTCCACCAGTGGGTAGGCGATCTCATTGTAGACGTGCTGGGTGCTGTGCTCCCCGTCGGAGGAGAACTGCCGGGGGATTTCCATGGGGCTCCGCACCAGGCACCGGCCCGAGCGCTGTCCACGCCGGCGATGGCCCGGCCCAGGGCAGCCTCACGCCCGCAGTGCACGGACACCTTCACCGCCTCCACGGCCATGGCCCGGAGTCTCACCGGGGGCAGTAATGGACATGGGGGACAGTGACCGACACGTGGTACAGCCCCACACACACCCAGCCAGCCCCACACATGCGGGTCAGTGACACACACTGGGGTCAGCGCCCACACCGGGGTCGGTGACAGACACTGGGGTCACCCCCCACACACCCAGTCAGCCCCACACACACCAGGTCAGTCACACTCACCGGGTCAGCCCCACACACACCAGGGTCAGTGACACACGTACTCCGGGGTCAGCCCTACACACACACCGGGGTCACCCCACACACCAGGGTCAGTGACACACACTGAGGTCACCCCACACATGGGGATCAGTGACACACACACACAGCAGGTCAGCCCCACACACACGCTGGGGTCACCCCACACACCGTGGTCAGTGACAGACAGTGGGGTCAATGACAGACAGGGGTCAGTAACACACACTGGGGTCACCTCACACACCCCCAGTCAGCCCCACACACCGGAGTCAGTGACACACATACACCGGGTTCAGCCCTACACACACACTGGGGTCACCCCACACACCGTGGTCAGTGACAGACACGGGTCAGTGACACGCACCGGGGTCAGTGACACACACTGGGGTCACCCCACACACCCGCAGCCAGCCCCCCACACTCGGGCCAGACTCCCCCCACAGGCACCCCACCCACCCAGACCAGCCCCACAGCTCAGCCGGCGGGGCTGGGCGGCACGGCGGCTGGGAAGAGGCTGGGCAAGCCTAACCCTGGGCATCTGCACCCCCTGTGCGAGGGAGGCTGGGGGAGAAGGGGAAAGCATGGAGAGAAAGAGCTGGGGAGGGACGCAGGGAAAGGGGGAAGCTAGGAACGGGCCTGAGGGGGAACTAGGGCAGGTGTGGGGAAGAAACCTGAAGGGGGAAGGGTTTGTGAGGCAAACCTGCGGGGAAGCTGAAGGGCGGGAAACCCAAGGGTGACTTTTGAAACCCTGAAGTAACTTTTGGGAGCCGAGACACGCCCAAAGGGCACTGAGCAAGGGAAGACCCGAGGTGACGGCGCCGGGGCCGCGCTGGCCGAAGGCGAGCACGGACCCCGCGGGCACGGCGGCGCTGAGGCGGCGGGAGCCGGCCCCGCGCATGCGCGAGTCACCCCACGCGGTCGCCACAGCGACCGGGGCCGCGTCACGTGACTGTCGGGGCGCGCGAAGGCGGGAGCGCGCGGGGGCGCGCGCACGTGTGCAGGGGGCGCGCACGAGGACAGGTGTGCAATGAGGACAGGTGTGCAGGTGTGCACGAGCACAGGTGTGCAATGGGGGTGCACGAGGACAGGTGTGCACGAGGACAGGTGTGCATGAGGACAGGTGTGCAATGAGGGCAGGTGTGCAGGTGTGCACGAGCACAGGTGTGCAATGGAGTGTGCACGAGGACACAGACTGTGTGTGTGCACAGGGCCGTGAGTGTGCAATGGCACCGGTGCCCAGCTGCAGCCCCTGCGTGTGCAGGTGAGGGAACACGTGGAGTTGCACACAACCTCCCGTGAGCAGCCGTGCAGCGCCGCAGCAGTGCAGCAGAGTGCAGGAGCAGGAGCCTGAACACACGGTGCAGTCATGAGAGTGCGAGTTTGTGCAGTGCCTGGGCTGGAGGGTGTGTGAGCACATGGGTGTGAGCACACAGGTGAGCACAGGGTGTGAGCACACGGGTATGAGCACACAGGTGTAAGCACACAGGTGAGCACAGGTATGAGCACATGGGTGTGAGCACAGGTATGAGCACACAGGGTGTGAGCACTCAGGTGTGAGCACACAGGTGAGCACAGGCCACACAGGTGAGCACACAGATGTGAGCACACAGGTGAGCACACAGATGTGAGCACACAGGTGAGCACAGGGTGTGAGCACACAGGGATGAACACATGGGTGAGCACACGGGTATGAGCACACGGGTGAGCACACAGGGTGTGAGCACTCAGGTATGAGCACACAGGTGAGCACAGGTATGAGCACACGGGTGTGATCACGCCGGCGTGCGGTCCGTCCCGCCGCGGGCGCGGTGCGCAGCCAGCCGAGCCCGCTCCGATGCACAGAGCCTTTATTGCGGGGGTAGGGCAGGCAGCGAGTGCAGCCGGGGGGCAGCCGGGGCAGCCGTGCGCGGGGTCCGGGCTAGCCCCGCTCGTGCTGCGCCCCGGCGGGGGCG